TGTATCGAAATTGCTATCCAGTAAATCTTCAATCTTGCCAAATGTGTCTATCTTGTTTTGCAGTAACCATTTTCAAGGGTGTTACACATTCTTGTCACAATAACGGCGCATCCAATTTATTCTCTGGAATTTATATATGGCAAAAATATCGGGTATATTTAAATTTGAAGATCTAACTGTTAATTTTTTTCAGAACATCCATCTGAGGTTCAGAGAGCTTCATCACATACAGAACTCTAGAGATTTCAAAACTTTAATTATTTGAACTCTACCCAGTAGAGTCAAATTTCTCACTTTCCAGAAATTTAAATATTTTTGTTATTCTTTATGAATTACTCGAAAAGGCAATTTATCTCCACTATGCCGAACATGAATGCATTATTATTTCACAATAAACACAGTTTTACAAACTTATATACATTGTATTTATTACAACAAATCTAGAATATCTAGAATTGCCAACCACAAATTTGCATATTTTGGATAGTTAATAATGAACTTATATCAATTAATCGCTTGATTAAATGCTCAACACCTCAAAATACAACATGAAATTATAGGTCAGTGTAATATTTTAGTAAATATTATTATGTTAGTTCTGATTTTTTGTTTTCAAAATTGTTTTACTCTTATCTAAAGTTGCAAAAAAAATATTTTTATTATTGTCATATTTTAGTAAATGATAAATATGCTAAATTGAGGAAACAATTGTTTAATTAAAGATTTTCTAAAGGAACTTGTAGCTGGAAAGTTGAAAGAAAAAGTAAATGTTCATAGAAAACCTATGGGAAAAGAAATAATATTGTTATGAACCTAGAGTATCTGAAGAATATCATGGTGATATTCACAAATCAGCCAAATGTGAAACACGAATAATGAAATGTATAATAATTAAATATAAATATTAAGTATAATACGTATGTTCTTTCAAAGTCAATATAAGTGTGTTGGCCTTCGACATTTTATGATATACTATAGATTGATATTGCGTGGCTCACTTTTTATTTCGGCCTTAATCGAAAACAAGTCACAATATTCAACACATAACAAAAATTAGGGTAGAAAAACCTACTCATAATTTTTGACAAAATTGGTCACAAATCACATGACAATGTTCATTAGTTTATTATGTAACACCATGAAGCTAATGTCTCATGGTACAATGAAATAGCATTATTTTGTGTGTTACGGTGACATTTTTTCAAAAAATATTGTTAAAGAAAAAATGCTTTCAGGACAACGAAAAGTACCCCATCATTTACAAAATATGATTTTTCTCACCAGTCTACAATTTGAGATATGGCATAATATCGTTATAGTACTGCGAAATGTCTACTATCCACTATTATATTATACCAGTATATTGATGTTGTTAATCCATCGATTTGATTGGTCCAAACACAAAATTTGCATATGCGATTCATGGTATATTGGCTGATAATACACAGTTACGCTAAACCATAGACCCTCTACAAGTGGCTAAACAAAGTGGCCCTGGGACATGAATTGACTATAGGTTTAACGTGGAAATACATAAAATCGGTAGTATTTGATATTTAGGGAAATATATTGGTTGAATTGTGAAATAATAATTGAAAAATTACCGAATTAAAAACATCTGAAAAAATGATATAACCATAATATTGCCTTTTGTTAACGGTGGGATGCAATTTGTGAGCGTCGGTCGTGAGTGATTGTCGTTCGCCATTACCCTAAACGAACGCCATATTGCTGTGTTTGCGAGTAAAACATGTCTTATCGTCCGTGTTGTGACTTTGAAATGGATTGCAAACCTCCAGCAAAGAAAACATGATCTTTAAGTTTAAATTATGACCAACTAGATAAGATTGAGGAATGGAAGTGAAGGAAGAAAAAATTACAAAAAATACGAGGCACAGAAAAAATGTATGCCACCAATAACAACTGGTGTCCCACATCGGCGTTCGAATTCCAGCTGACAAAATTGCACCCGGGTAATTGCCATCTGTTTCAAACACCGCGGTATAATGCAGAATTCAACGACGATATATGGCATTGTAATTGTCCACTGGGGGTAAATACATTTCGATAATTTCGAAAGCTGCAGATTTGTGCCGAGTGTACACCAACCACTGTATTAGAGCGACGGCGTGCAAAGTTTTTCATTCGACCGGAGTTGAGACAAGGCATATAATGTACGTGTCACAAAAACGATGCGGGCATCCAATCTTACACCAACAAACTTACCTCAGAACAACGACAAAACTTGTCAGGCATACTGTCACAAAACCTTGGTTATACCAAAAATGTATCCATGTCAGATGTTGGGTCTGAGGTCGCCCTGCCGGTCACCGTACATGATACACCACCGCGTCCCACCATGTCTCAAACTTCGGTCGAACCACAGTCCCTCTGATAATGATCCAAATTGTATACGACCCTATATTCCAATGGCGTTGACGTACTGTGAAATCCTTTATTTTAGCTGGAATTAATATGTTTTGTATGTAATTTATTTTCACTGATTTCTGACAAGTTTAACGTAAAATGTAGGAAAAAGGTATATTCACTGGATTTTATTTTCACTGAAAGGTCATGAAGGTAATCTTTTGTCATGCTAATTTGTGTGTTTACGCTGTTGTATTATCTGTGGATATGTTTCGCTTTCGCGTATTGTAGTTGTGCATATATTATTTGTGTATATTTTTTGTGCATTCAGTGTACAACTACATACTGTTTTTATAAATATTCATGTTCAAGGGCCATATTCACGATCTTATAATAGATTGCAAGTAGTTTTATCGAATTGTGAATATACTGCGGCTCGTGCATATATGTCGTGAATTGTGCAATATGTCGTGGTATACCCGCCTTCGGGGGGTATTGTTTGAAAACACAACCATCATTTTCTGGAAAATTTGACTGGTGATTCCCAACTTTTTTAAGTACAATGTATTGCAAAAAGAAATTCATTTTGAATAAATTCTGGGTATTTGCATTTATGAGTAGGCTTCTAGTTTTTTTTCTCATATAGTGAATGCTCAAATGCTATATTAATCCAACTCTGGAAGACATTTACTTACAGTATGATGAAGTATGTTATTGTTGTTGACCAAAACACTTTTGATATTGGCGCAATAGAACTATTTACACCATAATGGTAATTTTACGATATTTTGGATGGTATCTAAGTGGATAGATTGTGAAATATTACCACAATAGATAACATATATAATTAAAGAAATAATGACATATACTCGTGACTTTCTAGTATATAACAAAGTACTGTATTAAGCCAATTTCCTGATTACTAGTAATTATCAGACATTGTTACTAGTTACTATACTATTAATTTCATGTACGTGGAGGTGTACAGTTTTTGAATATTGAGAAAAAAACAGTAATAATTTAGTAATTGAAAAATAGAGATCAGATAATGATTTCAACTCATTGTAGCGAGTTTTATAAAAGTATACCAAAATGGAACCGGCCGAGAAGTACGTACGGTCGCTACTCGACAGCCCTGTTGACACATTGAGTAAGGCCGCCGTCACCCATTGCATCTCAGCAATTGACGGACAGTAGGTGTTAAGTTGTCTCTTTAACGGTTAGTTAAAAACACAGGAGACCAAACATTAGCCTTTGTACTTCAAAACTGCTGTCAAAACACAATAGAAATTTTGGGAGCCATCCAAGTACCCGCGACTTAGCCGAATCGCGACTTACCGAGGCGCGACTTGGCGAGGGGTCACTGTAATACATATTTAGTATATTGATATATATATTCACGTTCATACGTTTGTATTTTGCCAGTATTAATATACTGCATTATGCAAATAAGGTACGGAGTAAAATTGTAAATATTAATATGTTGTTGTTTTTTTGTTCAGCACAAAAAGAATAATCCTAAAATGTTGAGTCTGAGAAGCCCATAGACTAATTCCCCCGCCCCCGTGAACGTCCTTGTTTATATGGCACTCAGGTCTCACACAAGCGTGGCACGATGGCCTCCACTTCAAACATGGCGGTGTTGCTATGGTGCATTTCACTTATCATGTATACACACTATTTTGTGAAGAATGTCGTGATTAATTTTTCTATTACGTAATCAGTAATGCACTGATCCTTTATCAGGGTGTTCCATGGCAGTTCCGCAATGCACCATGGGAGTTCCACCGTGTACCATGAGAGAACCAGTAGGCAGTGCACGCATGACTCGTGGAGCCGGATTTTAGTTTCTTCACACGAAGTTCGGACATTGAAATGTAACTGCTTTGGGCTCTATAACAGAACACAACCTTAAAATGCGGGGAATTGTTTCAAACCAGGCACGTCCCATCAATATTCATGGAGTATCGAGTAACTGAGTATTATTCTCAGACGATGAACTCAGTATCATACTACCAATTTGTCTTTCATTGGCCGTAATTAAATCGCATGGTTCCTATTAGCCAGTGAGATTGTTCTCGTATCGATTGTAACGTCATCTGTATGTAGAGATTTGTTTTAAGAACTGATGACTTGTGGACCCGGGGCAACTGTCTATTAGGCACAACTACACTGTTTTCTGAAAATGTTGAGGAAGAAATGCCGATCAATCTGTGTCTTTCAATTTTGAAGAATTTGATTATATAAATATGGCTTCGGTATATATAGAAATACGCCAACACGTTAAACTGAAGGCAGCCTTCCGCGTCCCAGTGACTTGTTTTGTTACTAGTCGCCCTCGGGGAGGCACACAGACACCTATGGTCGCTGTATTAAAAAAGTTACCACAACGTTGGCGGAAAACACAAAAATGATTCACTGTTCTCTATTGTTGATTTGTAGCCAAATTATTGAAACTAGCGTATCTTTACAAATAGGTCAGTAACCCCTTTTCAAAACTATTACACAATGTTATTTTCTCTCGAAAAATCTGATTTAATGAGCTAGTTTTCTACACAATGTCGGTAATTTTCAAAGAGAAACTGTATTGCGCAACTTTAATATGTGAACAAACAAACAAACAAAGACAATTCTTAATTCTAGTGTTATTTATTAAACTTGACAGTGCACAAAAAGCTTTGTTATATTGTAATTTGTAAATTTGAGAAAAATTGTCTTGTTATTTCAGTTTTTAGAAGTAAGACTTGATTTGAACTTCGAATTATATGCCATGAATATAACACATTCGTATGAAAATGAACGAAAAATGCTATCTGTGTTTCAGTGTCACGTTGTACTTATGTCCGAGCTACTCCCAAATTTGTTCGTTCTTGTTCGTAGTCTAGCATTTTATCTCTCGAACATATAGTGACGTAATCAAACAGACTATGACGTGAGCAACACTAAACTCAGAAGTGATCTATCCCAGTATCTCTGTAGACATCTTAACATGGATGTTTAAAGTATGTATGTTTGACAGAAAGACACGTCAATAAAATACTGTACTCAGTTTCAATGGACAGAGATACTCAAGCGACGATCGCTCATTTGCATACGCGTTTTACAAGAACAGCTTGCTATAAAAAATATATTTATTATCCGTATATTAAAATCGCCCGATCGGCGCTAAATGACAACTGGTGTTGTTATTTTCAACCTTGCAGAGCTTTGACAATGTGGGATTTCATGAGGTCCCATCCCTTTGCCCAAGCGTCCTTGGCAGCAGGAGTGAAAGCACCACCTGCTTTTTCTTGAAGCGTCCACAACAGTACTGGACCCATGGCCTGATGAAAAAGCAAAGCAAAGAAGGAATGTTTATATATATTAGTGATTTAGTTTGTCTAAACACGCCCACGACAGCAGCGACATATGATTATGAATTTAAGTTAAAGCGGGGCAGTCGTCACCTGCGCATGCGTCAGATGGCCATAACGTGTAATTGTTCACAAACAAGCGTCTACCCATGAGCCTTTACATTTTTAGCGTGTGTTGTTATCGTCGCTTGGCATTGTGTCAACACAGGTGGCGCTATTCAGCACAGACCTGTGTCTTATGACGCAAAACTAGCCTCTGAAGGCTAAATATCAATCATCCACCATTTTAGTCAGCGTTTCTTCCGCGGAACTATATACAAGTATTTGTTTCTTGTTTTGAACACATTCTCTCCTTATTTTTAGCAAGATTGAATATTTAATGAGTTGATCAATTAAAATAACGCACAACACTCATCAGCATGTCTTATCCTATTAACATTAAAATGCATGTAAATTGCGAGGTCAAAGGTCTATTGTTTCTCAATATTGCATTGACAAGCAGATCGCCGCAAACCAATCAAATAGCGCCACCTGTGTTGGCACAATGTGGAAATAGTTCCGACCACTTTTCCCAGAGTTCCACGCGCGGTATGTGTCAGATCGGTTGGTTTGCGGCGATCTGCGTGTCAATGCGTCGCTTGGAACTCAATTCCCGCGCGTGCGCAGGTGACGCCCCTCTCGCTTTAATAATTACTATAACGTATGAATAGACCATAGACGGAAATGGCCACTGAAATCTCATAGAGAGCAGAAGAACCACGAGACTTGTTCTTGCCCCCAATTAGTGATCCATTTTATTCTGCCCACGCATCCACTGTCCCAAATTCCATGATTACATAAAAGTCAGGTGAACTATTTCAGGGACTCGGACAAATGTGGAGAACGGACAGCGTTATTTCGTATGGTATAGGCTGACATACATAACATGTGACAGTATAAGAAAGAGATTTGTTATCAGGATTCACTTATGTAAGGTCATTTCCTAGTTGAACGTAAAACTTACATCGAAGTTCGCCGGTGTGACTTTAAGGGCAATATGAGAAGTGCCAAGTGCTGTTAACTGTTTCACCAATGCTGGAGCATCTCCCAAACTGCCGACCCATGAATTGACTGTATCCATCACCTTCACACCGTGGTCAGCCAGGGCTGGCGTTTTCTCGATGGCAGCAAGACCAGACACACCATCCAGATAACGGAACTGCGATTGGAATCCAGGGTTCTCTGAGAAGAGTCTTTTCCAATGGGAAAAAAACAATACTGCAATAATTTGTATAATAATAGTTTATCTAATATTATACAGTAAATAGCCACCAAATATGGTAATATTTACCCAGTATGGTGATGATTACCATAACAAGTAATATATAACATACATGGTAAATTATACTTACCATATAGCATGGCAATTATCATATTACATAACTCAATTACATAGTACGTAACAAAATAGTAACAAACCACCTGACGGTTGAAATTGCACCGCTGTCCTATAAGACCACTGCGGTGGGAAGTCAAATAATGCACACTCATAATACAAAACGCAGTTAAGCCACACACAAAAAGTAGTTTGGTTCTGGCTGTCAAGAACATGCCACCGGAACTTAATCAAACAAATTGTTCACAAAAGTTATGTTCTCAAATTTAAAACATATTGAAAACAGCTGATAGTTTTCAAAAATATCATTTGTTACCAAAAATTGACACAAATGTTTACTAAAAATAAAATAAAAATGAACAAATCTGATATAGGTCCAACCAAGGTTCAACATATCAAAGTAATCCGGCCAGTAGTTTTCAAGAAGAAGTCAAAAATGCGATTGTTGACGGGCGGCGGATGGACGATATATGACGGACGTATTACTTCATAAATAATATATATGGTAACAATTACCTTACAAATAAAGCAATCCCACTTTCTTTCTTGTTAGCGTATACAGGAGCCCATGAGTCTTTCACAAGTTTGATTTCGCCTGCTGAGAGAGACATCTTGGTTGATGGGAACTGCATTCAAATAAAGAAAAAAAAAAACAATGTTTATGCACATTATTATGCACAATTCCCGGCATGCAACACTGTTCAAACACACAATACAACTGTTCTATTCTCTGTCGTAGTTCATTTTCGTTCGCCATTTTATATTGTATAGAGCATATCACGAAATAGTCGATGTTTACAACGATGCTACAGCCAAATTGGCAACAATGCGCCGTTTGGAGAGGGATTTGGTTTATTTTAAAAGACGATGACTACAAACCCAAACTTAGTTAAATATTTGAGCAGCATGGCTCACATTTATCTCCGTCCATGCCGTAAATGGGCCAATCACATTGTCGCTAATATTTGGAGCGGGAGGATGGCCAATCACAATTGGCTAATATTTGGAGCGGAAAGATGGCCAATCACATCGTCGCTAATATTTGGAGGGGAAGGATGACCAATCACATCGTCGCTAATAGTTGGAGCGTAAGGATGACCAATCACATCGTCGCTAATATTTGGAGCGGAAGGATGGCCAATCACACTTGGAGTAGTAGCTGTTGACTATCAATAACAAATAATATTTTTGAGATTGATTGATTTATTTATTTATTTATTTATTTATTTATTTAACACGACACAAAACAGCAACAACAGAGGGCGTTATCTATAAAAAGTACTTTACTTCATTCTATATGTCTGCGTCCCATATGCGCACATAATGAAGAATGTGTAAAACAATTATTTAAAACATATCTTAAACAAATGTCCTGATGGTCGACATAGCTCCGCTGTGTCAGCAAAGCACAGTATTGCCATACTAAGTGCATGTATAGATGCATAGACTCAATAGTGGCGAAAGGATTATTTTGTTTTCAAGAGGACGTCACAAAAATAAAAATTTCTGACCAAAAAAAAGAGGATTCAAAATATCTTCTCACGAAATGATCGTAACTCATAAAAGTCCACCTACACTAGTACGAGGTATAAAAGCAATAGAGTTTGGATTTCTTTTTCATAAAAATTGTAAAAAAAGTTGACAATCACCTATATCAACAACTCTGTCGGTCATCTTCGAGACGATGAAGGAAGAAAAGAATGTGTTGGCACAATTAAAAGCGCAAAGCAATAAATGAGATTTAGTACATTCTGACTTAAGATGGATTCTGTAAATCTTGTTTGTGGTATCCAGCAATTACTGGTACATACAATTTTTCACTCACCCCACATATCTACACCAAGCATGTTTTCAGTATCTCACGCACCTCAGAAAAACACAAATCAGTATCGTGCTCGTCACGTGACCATGATTTAATAACTGTTTTCTTACAAATCATTCTTAGAGCGCCACATGCGTTGTATACTACGCGCAACGACGACTGTGGCGTTTTAAACCCAACCCGTCGCCTGATTGTATATCCGTTCAAAAACCTTATGCTAATAAACATGCGATTTGCAACAACCAATCACAGCAG